GCTGATAAAGATTCTGGGACCTGAGGCTCCTCGCAGACTAACTCAGTGAAGAAACCTGCACTATATTAGATACTGAGAAAGAAGCTTTTATTTCATGTATTTCTTTGAAAGCTACTTTCTTCATGCTGGAGAAAGAAGCAATTCCAGGCTACTTAATGTAAAAGGGGCAACCTGGGGATTTGATGGGAGCCAAACTTTCTTGTCTCTAAAAATGGCTCATGGGGCTGGTCTGAGGAATGTTTCCCTGCAGGGTCTGCCTAGAGTGCACACAGGAGGCCGTTTGGAGTAAAACACCCAAAGATGGATGAAATTCCAGGAAGGGATTCTGTAAAATGAGGGTGCTGAGGCACTGGCACAGGGTGCCCAGAGAAGCTGTGGCTGCCCTATCCGTGACAGTGTTCAAGGCCAGGTTGGACACAGGGGCTTGGAGCAAGCTGCTCTAGTGGAAGCTGTCCCTGCCTGTGGCAGGGGGTTGAAACTGGATGAGCTTTAAGGTCCCTTCCAACCCAAACCAGTCTGGGATTCATTGAAAATCATGACAAGACCAAGCTGGCAATGTGGCAGGCATGCCAAGGAGGTGCAAAGTGTGGGTAGGCTCTTGGTGGACTACATAAGGCTTCAGGTCTTCTCTGTCCCCAACGAATAAGGAGCCAGCTATGGGCTAGTCCACATCAGTAGGCACTGGGATACAGACATCCCTCCCTTGAGGCTAACAAAAAGACACCCCAATCGCAGTGGGGTGAAACAGATATAGTTTTGCTCATGATTCCAAGCATCAAAACCACTGGACACTGCCCCTGTACCCCACAGTAGGAGCTGCAAGCTTCCCACATCTCTGACAAGCTTGTTGAACATGGACACCCACCCAAACAGCCAAATACCAGAAGAGAACAGCTCACTCTGTCTCACCTGCTTTGTGCATCATGTTTTATTTTTATAGCTAGAATTTACAGTCTCAGCCTGGAGCACCCACAAAAGTGCACAAACACATAGGAAGGAATCACGTTTACTGCAGTGGTACTAACTTCAGTAAAAGGAGACAGGAACTGCCTTTCTTCCCCCTGGCTGTCCATCTCCTGCAAGGAATGGAAGGACAGCCCTGCTAAAAGAGAAAGTCACATGAAGCAGCACAAATAGCAGCATCTCACACGAAGAACAGACTCAATCAGGTTAAGGGACCTGGTGGGAGTGCCATACCCACTGTGCTGCCAATTATAATGTAACCCAACTGCATTGCGATGGAAAATGCGTTTCTCCCCTTTCTCTCCCCCCCCCTTCCTTCGAGCTACTTTGGTAATAGGCAATTTCTCTTAATAACAGTGTGAAAGAAAATACTCTAGTGGAAATGGTGTATAGCAATTGACTGTGTGCCCATCACTCTGTCTCAGCTGTTGATAAGGTTAGTGAGAGGATGTGACTGCTGTAAGTATCATTTAAAACAGCAGTGTCACATTCACTTGAGGAGACAGGAGCATGGTGCAGCCCCAACAAGACAAGCAGGCAGAAAGCAATGCAGAAAATCAACTTCTAATGCAGCCACCCTGACTCTGGTATGCTAAACAATATGTCATTTGTATTTGCCCTCCCCAGGCCCTAATGCACCCTTGGGTGACATGGTTTAGTGAGAGGTGTCCCTACCTATGGCAGGAGGGTTGGAACTGGATGATCTTAAAGTCCTTTCCAACCCTAACTATTCTATGATTCTATAAATGTTGCACCTCCATTTGCAGCATCTCCAAACCCAGTAGCATCCAGTCAGCCACTTCTGTCTGCCTTGATCTGCTACTCTTCGGGTGATTTCCATGCTCTGTTTTACTCTGTGATGGGATCTTCAGGAATATTCTGGCCTTAGAGAGTGTTTTCACTGTTTGACCTGCTTAATCAGAACCAGTTTTCAAACTCCTTTTTTATTAACTTGGGAAAAAAAAACACAAAAGAAGAGAAGCTTCAGACAAAGCTGATGGTAAACAGATGCTATTGAGCTAAGAGCACTTGGTTCTCTAGGTACTCAAACACAGGGATGGGTCTGAACAGAACAAAACCTTCCCAGTACTTGTTTTAATGAGTAGGCTTTCTTGCATTTGATCATCTGTTTTCTCAGAGGAAAATGTTCAGAAGGCTTGTGATTAGCCAGAGGCAATTCAATACCCAATACAACACAGACGTGGGGGAGTGAACTGGCTGATGCTCCATGTCAAACAGTCCCATTCCCCCTCCTTTCCCCATCCTCAACTACCGTTGCAGCTGCAGCCAGCCACTGGATGTACAAGCTGGAATTGTATGATCAAAATAATAGAGGAACAATAAGGTCTGTAGCTGAGCAAACCCCAGCAGCTTGCAGAGCCTGTCAATCTCCACACTTACAAGCCCCAGCCTATTTTCACCACCATAGGCTGCCAGGTTAATTAAATGGGACTCCTCGTGGTGTCAGGAAGCAAGTCAAGCAGCAAGTGTTTGCAGAAATGGGCTTTAAAGTGAACAGTGTATGAGAAAAGGGAGAAATTTCCTCTGCACACATGTTTTGCCATGTGTCTTGGGAGATCTGTCATGCTGCATGCATGGTCCCTTCCTAAGTGGTGTCCTAGCTAGCTCATATTCATCACATCTAGGGATGCTGCGGTGAATCCTCAGTTCAAAGTGTGTTGTCATCACCACTATTCCCTGACAAAAAGCCTGGTCCAGGCTGAACACCTTCACCTTCCATGTCAGTCACAATTAAACCCTAGAAGTCTTCACATTACTGTGTTTCCTCATTTTATGTCTCATAAAACTCAGTCTCCCTTTAATGAAGGACCAGCAGCATCCTTCTTTGTGTCTGGAACCAATGCATGATTACCACAATTAAGACAGCAGTATGACATCTGACTGCTTTATTTTCCACGTTATGGTGGGAATGCTGCAGGGGTTTCCTAGATTGCTATCAGGAAAAGAAAAATGGCCATTTTCACCAGTTCCCATTTCCTTCCAGAGTGTCTCCTCAGCTTGGCTCCTTTAGGAACTCAGAGCATTGAGGATCCAAAGTCACACAAGTAGTTGTCTATTGTTGTTATTAATCACATCAATTTTGTTAACTGCTTGATTCAGCTCAACTGTTAACACTTATCCAGACTGTGTCATCCATTGATGATATTTCCCCCAAATTAGGGCACATCCATCCTTCCTTGGGCATTTTTCACACCAGGTTCCAGCGGTTAGAAGAAGGGAATGAATACAAGCTTATTAAGGACATCTTTCAAGTATATTTAACCTGCAAAGCTATGTAAAAGGGCAGTAGATTACCTGTTGCATCATTAAAACTGTCCAGTGATTCAGAGTGATGATAGGGGAAAGGCACAGATTTTTCAGACTCAAGGTTAAGCTGCAGGAGTCTTTGAGGTGGGAGGTAGATCTGGTGGCTGAATTGAGCAGATGGGGTGTGAATGGCTCTAATCCACCTCTGTTCACCTTTAATTCAGAGTAATTCTGGTGGAACTTTTGCACTGCAGAGCTGAACCTCACTTACTAAACCATGATCCCTACAATACTCTTTAAAGGTCACTTATCCATAAAGCAAACAAGCTCTGAGGGCCCATCTTAAAGGGTCATATTGGTTCTTACCACATTTAGGGTGGATTCCCTGTACCCTCCCTTAACTTCCACCTCTGACCTCCCTAGCAAAACCTCTTTTCTGCAGTAATATTTAGACTATTTGTCTGGATATCAATAGCTGCTCTTTTCATTTACTGCACACAACCACTTTCTGCTACTAAGCAGACAGTAAACAAATTCCACCCTTTCTTCTCCCATGGAAAAATAAATCTAATGGAAAATGATGGCTTCTCTATAGGTTTCTGAGAAGTCTTACTCAATTTAGAACAGAAAAGATCTAATTCTCTGTCGTGTTTTATGTGAGTTCAGAGTTATTCCTGTGAAACCTTTTGGCATAACTCCTGTTCACCCATTTTACACTTTCCATAAGAGCTGTAATACCATATATGTGCAAGAAAGCAAGCCCTGCCTACGTTTAGTGCTTCATTCCTTTCAAAGTAAGTAGAGGGGCTCAGCAGAAATGGCTATCAGACCCCAAGTATCAATGACCATTCTTTATGCTAATCTTCCCATTTCCTGCTATTACCAGTTCCAGGGTCAGCAGTTAAAAAAAAATAATCCTGAACTATTGTAAAATCATCTGTCATTTTATTTTCTACCCCCAGTCTCTTAAAGAGTGTCTGCAATGAATTACCTCCGTGTCTGAAATGAATTACTGCTCCATCCCACACAAACACACCATCATTACCTGCCCCAAGCAAGGTCTGGAACTATATTGCGCTTGTATGTTAAACAATAGTCGGGCAATGGTGAGATGCAATTGATTATGTGAAACGTTAGAAAGCTTAAGTAAATCAGCTTCTCTGAAATCATCTGGGCTTTAGGTGTAGCTGGTTTTGGTTTAAAAGGTTATTACACTTCTCTCTCCTTTTCTCTCTTTTTTCTTTTCTTTTCTTTTCTTTTCTTTTCTTTTCTTTTCTTTTCTTTTCTTTTCTTTTCTTTTCTTTTCTTTTCTTTTCTTTTCTTTTCTTTTTTCTTTTCTTTTCTTTTCTTCTTTTCTTTTCTTTTCCTTTTTTTTTCTTTCTTTTTCTTTTTTCTTTCTTTCTCTTTCTTTCTCTTTTTTTTCTTTCTTTTTCTTTATTTCTCTTTCTTTCTTTGTCTTTCCTTTCTTTCTCTTTTTGTTCTCTCTTTTTTTTTCTCTTTCTCTTTACTCTCTTTCTTTCTTCTTTCTTTCTCTTTCTTTCTCTTTCATTCTTTCTTTTCTTTTTTCTCCTTCCTTCCTTCCTCCTTCCTTCCTCCTTCCTCCCTTCCTCCCTTCCTTCCTTCTTTTTCTCTCTTCTTCTATTTCCTTCTTTCTCTTTTCTTCTCCCCCCCCCCCATCTCTGTTGCTCTCTCTCTTCTCTTTCCTCCCCTCCATCCTTCCCTGCATCTTTTCCTTCTTTGTTTTTCCCCCCCTTTGACTATATTCTTTATATTGACAGTGCAACAAGGAAACTCCCAAATCTTTGGGAGCCATGCCCTGTCATTCCTGAGACCCAAAGGTACCTCCTGGTTCACCAAAGCCAGACTCACTTTATAGCCAGCAATAAACTCTGCCTTGAAGCCAAATCAGACCCTTGCTCCCATGGCTTTTACTGGAAACGGTTGCTTCATTCTTCAGATGCTTAGAAACATTCATTTCATTTTCAGCCTCCGAATTATTCATACCACTTTACACTAATTTCCTCCGGTGCCAAAAAACTCTTTTAGCTCAGTTGTTTTGCCCTCTCCAGTGTTTACCCAATTGAAATACTGCATATTCCCTGTCTACCTTCTTTTTCCTCTATTAAGCAACGTAAGTTAGCTTAGCAGGTAGCTCTCTTCCTTGGGTTTTTGTTTCTTTCTTTAGGAGTACCCTGTTGTCAGTTAGCTTTATTTGTTTAGGAGCAGATTTACCTCAATCAGAATCGTGGCCTGTTGTTCAAGTAATGCCACACTGATGAAACTGTATTGTAGAGGTAGTGCTCCCCACTACATTGCAACTGAAATACCCCTAGACTACTAATTGCAACTAAAATGACCCTAAGCTACTAACTGGAATTAAAATACTCCTAAACTACTCATTGCAATTAAATGCCCTTTCCTATAAGAACAGCCAGAGTGTTAAGTGTTAAAGAGCTTAGACAAACCATGATGTATCTTCAATTTTTAGCACGTAGCTGACTAGAGAAGGTGAGATTCAGGTTCGTGTCACATTTCACACCAACCTTCAGTCCAACCAGATCCCCAGCACCCCTACACAAGCCATAAATAACATCCATACATTTGCATTTCTTAATCAAATACCATGTATACTGATGTCGACAGAACTCCTTGTGTCCCACTGATGTAGAGCCTGTACCCTTCACAGGGATCACAGTGGAAATGGGCTTAATGTGGGATTTCCTTTCAATGCAGCAGGGCCCAATCACTTTTTTCCCACTGTTTCAACTTCTGTTTCATGTCTCTGCCCAAGTGTTGCTTCTGTTTAGAGGTATCAAGTTAGTTTGAGAAGAAAATATGCTGGAGCATAGTATACATGAGAATAATATGTCCTAGAGCTGCTGTATGAGGTACATAAATCATGCCAAGAAGAGGTGAAGGCTGAACTATGCTGGTGTTACTTCCACTCTGGTATCAGGCAAGAAATGCATGGAAATGAAAGCAGAATGCAGAGCAGAAAGCATTTTGTACTGCAGCACCTTTATGGGCAACACAGATGAGAAAGTCAATGGAGTTGCTGCATTGTATCAGTGTAGTGGAGATCACGATCCAGAGAGAGCATCAACACTGTATCTATTATTGGGAAATAATGGATACACACAAAGGAAGAATCATGGAATCATAGAATGGTTTGGGTTGGAAACCCAAAAACCCTTGAAAATCACCTAGAAGATTTGCAGTGTGGTCTTCTCCACACTAGGCTGTTTCCACGTTCTAGTTACGTGTCTAGTGCAGCTCAAAAAAGAGCTTGCAAAGCAGTTGTTTATGCCATCTGTTACTTGAGCAGCTGATAAGAAAATAGGTGGAGGTCCTGGTTCAAAGGCAGATGGGGAATTCTTAGGAATGTTTCCAAGTTTTTCATGGGCTTTATCCTCAACCCACACCTGCAAGGAGAGGAAATCATCCCCATCCCTGTACCTGAAGCACACTGTGCAGTGAGATGAGGGGACTTGCCAAGGTTTTGTACAGAAAAGGGTGTGAATTCACTGCTTTTAGGGCACTGCTTGAACAAGACAGAAAGGACCCCTGAAACATACTAAGACAGCCACTTCTCCAAGCATCCAGCCACTGATGTGCTTTATGCAAGGGAGGTGATGGCACCAGCAGTGTTGAAAACACAAAACTTATTAGAACAGAGAAGCTCTTTGCTGAGTTCAGCTGCTTCACTCTGTGTGTAAAGGAGCAGAGAGTTGGTTGAGGACGGGGTGATGCTGGTCTTGCATGGGATGAACCTACAGATCTTTTCAATCATTATCCAGAAACAATAATTATGCCTTAAGAGCAAAAGCCTGAAAGAAACACTGAGCAGTGCAGGGGTTGTGCAGGGTTATCGTATCGAGTATCTTCACTGGTGTATTTCTAAGCCAGAGGAAAGCCTTTCATACAGCTGTGGCTGAGCTCTCGCTTTATAACTGAATCTTAGATTTCATCAGCGATTTATCAGTGATAAATAGAGTGTCTCCTGAAGAGTTCTGTTAAACCACTAAGCACTAGGAACTGCATCAGATCAGCAAACACAAACAAGAAGCAGGGTCTTGTTCACAGAGTGGTGAATTACTTGGCAAGGGCTCAATCGCTTGGGGTGATTCCAGTGCTTTGAGCAGCAGAGGAACAGCGATGCTCTCCGCTTCCATGCAGTGCTTAGCACCTTCCTCTTTCCAATCAGCTCCTAACGCTGCTTCTGCACCCTGCTACAGACCCTGCCTTCATTATTTACAGTTTGCGAGAGAGAACCAGTTCTGTAAAACAGCCCCTGGGGAGTAGGGAATTTCTATGGCTGGCTGCAGATTATGTTTTCATGCTCTTTATCATCCCTTTTTATTGCCACCTCCTCACACTGCTCCAGAGCCTGTCTCTTTGTCTGTTTACTTTAGGTTTGTTAATCTTGCACCAAATAAATGTGCACTCACCAAAGGGATAGTCACAAACTGGTTTCCTTGGCTGGAACTGACGGTGATCTGGCTTCTATCCAAAATGTCCATCCTCGCCCATTTGCAGCACTGTGTGGCCAGTGTTCAGATGAGCTGCAGGGCCCTTAATGCTGTTGGCTATGGCTCTCAGCAGCTCTCATCTCAATAATGCAGCTCAGCAGCAAGTCAAGAGGCCACCGACACAGTCTGTGCCCACCATGAGATATTCTGGAGGATGTGGGCACTCAGTCAACCCTTGGCGAATGGGTAGAGCTGGATGAGTTTGCATTGTGCAGCTGGGGCACTGTTATCTTTGTTCACTCCCTGCAAAACAAAGGATTTTCACATAAGGAAGGAATTGCAAAGCAACGTTTTCTATCTCACAATTAGGAGCATGCCTCTAGACAGGCACAGGCTTACCAGGGAGGCAGATGCCCTGAGTACATTTCTGTCCCTCTCAGCATCATACTTCCTGTACTGAGACAGGCTGAGAAAGTTGGGGCTGTTCAGACTGGAGAAGAGAAGCTGCATGGAGACCTCAGAGCAGCTTCCAGTGTCTGAAGGAGTCTACAAGGATGCTGGAGAGGGACTCTTCATTAGGGACTGTAGTGATAGGACAAGGGGCGATGAGTTAAAGCTTAAACAGGGGAAGTTTACACTGGATATAAGGAAGAAGTTCTTCCCTGTGAGGGTGGTGAGGCGCTGGTACAGGGTGCCCAGAGAAGTGGTAAATGCTCCATCCCTGGCAGTGTTCAAGGCCTGGCTGGACAAAGCCTTGGGTGACATGGTCTAGTGTGAGGTGTCCCTGCCCATGGCTGGGGGTGTGGAACTGGATGATCTTAAGGTCCTTTCTGACCCAAACCATTCTGTGATTCTATGATCAGCCAATGCATCATATGACACTGTCCCCCCCACAACACCCTTCTGAGTCACAGCAGCTCAGCTGTTGCCACACTATTAAGCCTCCATAACTCAGCTACATTTGACTCTGTGTCCTCTCCTAGAGAGAGTCCTGCAGTCACTGGGGATTCATTCCCCAAAGCAGTCACTTTTTCTTTATGAATGGCATAATTAATTAGGGCTGCTGTCCCTCAGAGGGACTCCTGCCCTTATTCCCCCATACAAACTTCTGATGGATGCTAACGAGGGGAACAGGATGGTTAAGGAAGTCTTTGAGAATCACAGAATCAACCAGGTTGGAAAAGCCCTTTCAGCTCACCCAGTCCAACCATTCCCAGCACTGCCAAGGCCACCACTGCCCCATGGCACTGAGGCCTCGTCTCCATGGGGTGTGAACACTTGCAGGGCCGGTGACTGCAGCCCTGCCCTGGGCAGCCTGTTCCAATGCCTGAGCACCCTCTGGGGCAGGAATTGTTCCTCAGCTCCATCTAAACCTGCCCTGGTGCAGCTTGAGGCCGTTTCCTCTTGTCCCATCCCTTGTTCCTTGGGAGCAGAGCCCAGCCCCTCCTGGCTCCATCCTCCTGTCAGGCACTTGTAGGGAGCGATCAGGACCCCCTGAGCCTTTTCTCCAGGTTGAACCCCCCAGGCCCCTCAGCTGTTCCTCAGGACAAAGGAGGGTTTGTCCTTGGAAAAAAGCTGGATTTGGGGACAAAGGAGGGAGGAGTATCTCAGAGAAGGTTACAGGGAAGCTCTTTTCAAGCTCGGTAAATCAGTTTCTCACTGAAGCATAGGGCTATGGTTACCCCAGTGGCAGTTCTGTGGATGTTGAGTTTGGGGCATCCTCACTAAATCTGCTCAGAGTACAGTAAGGTGAAGGTACTTCCAGTTGTTTTGTACAATAGTGGTATCCTCAGAATCGTCTGCTGCTTCTGCCTTAATCAATAAAGGCCATTAGAAGCTCACTTTTCTGCTAATACTACTCTGAATACATCTTGCTGGGAGGTATTTTTTATGACATTAGCACATTGATTTCTCCTGAGAGATACAGCTTGGGGTTTTTCTCATCCCATCGCATAACACAATTTCCTCACCACGTTTCTAACTGCTGGGACTTAACATTCACAGTCAATGAAACACCTTACTAAGTTTTAAACTTTTTTTTTTATAGAGAAACAAAAGCAAATGCCTTTAAAATCTTTATATAGATTTATACAGCTGGTATGAGGATATTTAGCCGTCATATGCATTTATATATAGCAAAGACCACCATTGTTCAACACTTGTTCTTTAAACAGAATGGGTCCTAAATGCTTTCCTGGAGTAAATCTCTCTCTCTGACTATATACTGCATACAGTAGAACATGGTACTTTTAAAACCTTTGTCCTTCTGCAGCAAGTTGGGCAGTGTTTCTGAGAGGATGAATGCAGATCTCAGGACTCAAACAACCCCTGCTAACTAGGCTCTGAGATATGGAGTTAAGCTGGCAGGTTCTTCGCTCTTCCTACTGTGGGACTGACAAAGTAGTCTACAAACCAATGTAATGTGCCATCACAGATAGCTTAATTCAAACTCATAGAGTGGTTGAGGTTGGAAGGGGCCTTTGTAGATCATCTGGTCCAAGCCCCCAGAGCTGGCTACCCAGGACCATGACCAGGTGGCTTTTGAATAACTCCAAGGATAAAGACTTCACAAACTCTCTGGGCAATCTGTTCCATCACTTGGTCAACCAGTAAGAGTTTCATTTCTTAACAGCTTCCATAGACTATTGTCAGTCTTGTGAGCCCTTCAGTCCCTCACACATTTAAAAAGTAGCATCAGAGTTGAATCTGAATATCAGACTATAAAAAAGGGATTACATTAAAGATTCTCAGGTCACTTAGAGGAGGATCCATCTCAGGCAACTTTAGTCAGGCAGAACTGAGTCATTACATTGGTCCTCTAGGCAGTCCTGGTATTCAGCAGAAAGAGATCAGCATCTCTAGAGGGTGATTTATGCCACCAGAACAAGAGCCCCGCAGAACAACTCACACTCTAAAGGTTCTACAGTATTTCTGTTCTTACTATTACAGACTGTGTCTTGCTGCTGAGACTAGATAGCTAAAATCAAGTGCACTGGATGACTTTCCTAACAGAGAGATGCTCTATGTCTGACTGCTATTGGAAAAACAGCTGATGCTGGTCACGGAAAGGGAACCTTCTTACTTGAGCTTAGGGGACTGGAGGGCTGAACATCTTCTGTTTGCTTCTTTAAAAGAGAGACTGGGATCTCGGAATGGTGGATCAATGAGCCTTATTCGGTTTGCTAGAATGGGAAATGATGTTAAGAAGTGCTCTAAATAGTACAGATAAGCCCCATGTACAGGACGGGACAGATGTAAACACGTTTTTCCACTCTGTTAGTCTTTTCCAGTCTATTTTGAACTTAGCAAAAAAGGGAATAAAGAGACAGTTGATTGTATTTAATGTGGACTTAGATAAAAAGTCTCTGACGTGATACTAAGGAAAAGGAGTACGAATGGACTGGATTTAATATGCTTTTACTGACATGGAAAAGCAGTGAAGAGAGAAGGTGACACAAGAGCAGTGACAGGGTTAGAGGTGCTAAGGAGGAAATCCAGAGCTATCTCCAGTGCAGGGAAGAACTGAACCACGGGGGAAATGCAGAGGTTGGAGGGTCAAGCACATTGATAGATTCTGGGAGATTTCAGGGGAGAAATGGTTGGCTGCTATGAACAACAGTTCAGGGAGCCCCTGTGCTCAGTACAGAATGGCATTTAGGAACATGAGTGCACTGCTTGAATACTGAAACTGGATTGTAAGTATAATCCCACAAATAGCACACTAGTGCACGGTGGCAGTGGCCGGAGCTTGGTAGGAATACGGTGACTGGTTGAGGGCATTTTGAATCAGAAATGCAGATTTTCAGTGCCAAAGTCATTATGGTTTTAAATAACACAGCAAAGAATAAACCAGATCTAAATAAATAACTCATTATCTATTGAAAGAAATAGAAGGGTTTCAGGGTGGTAGAAGTCTCCCACAGCACGGAATATGTTAGGAAGACTGCAAAGGCAAGAGCAGGAACAGTTAGTTTAAAGAGAAGGTGAATAAAAAGGTGTTTTGTGGAAGTATATTACATCCTGAGTACTGCAGAGAAGGTAAATTGGCAGTCTTATTTACTCCCACTCATAAAATCAAAACAAGAACCATCCAGCTCAACTGAAGGGCAGTAAGTTTAGGAGTGATAGAGGGCATATATTTCTAAAGACAATTGAACCTGTAAAATTCACTGCAACACGATATCATTAAGCTGAAACTTAATCAGATTTGAAGGAGGAACAGGTATTTATATGAAGAGTGAATATAACCAAGGCCAGGTTAGACAGGAGTTAATAGAAATCCTTCAGGCTTCAAGCAAATAAACTATTTTGTGCCGGAGGTAAGGATGAGCCTTTCTCTATGGGAAGGTTGTTCCGTAATTGGTCAGGAAAGGTTTCTCACATTTTCCTGTGATGTACCAAAACATATAGTATTAGTCACTGTCAGAGAAAGAATACTGGATTATATGGACCATTGATCTGACCCAGCATGGCAATTTTTATGGTCCTGTGAGCAAAATCCGATGGATTTGCAAGGAGACTTTACAGAATAACAGCTTCAGTCTGAATTTTTCTTGCTGCTACAGAGGCCATGGAAAGAGCAACTACATTTCTGGCAGTGACATATCTCTGCAGGCAGGCGTAGTAGCAATGCAGGTATTTAATGCTTTTATGCCATTTGTTAAGGATTATATGCCAGTAATCTTTCCCATTAACACTTTTTCTCATTCTGGGTTGAAGATTCCATAATCTTCTCCCTCCCTCCACCCTCTAAACATGTACCCAACCCAAAAACTAAACACTGGGTGCATGGACCAAAACTTAATAACTGAGATTAATTGTCAAAGTACAGAGCTACTTCCTAATAATCTCTCATAACTTGTCATATCAGCTAGCTTTCTTGCTTTCCTGCTTTCTTCTTGCTTTCTTGCTTCCTTTCTTTCTTCCTTTCTTCCTTCCTTTCTTCCCTTTCTTTCCTTTCTTCCTTTCTTCCTTTTCTTTCTCGCTTTCTCTCTTTCTCTTTCTGCCTGCCTGCCTTGTTTGCCTGCCTGCCTTGTTTTCCTTGTTTGTTTTCCTTTTTTCCCATGCTATTGATTCTCTGCTCCAAGAAAATGCATGTCTTGGTCACTTCCAAGTCCCCGTCTTGTACAGCTGGTCAGTGACCATCTGCAGTGTTAGTGGGCTGTGAGATGAGCTACTTATCAATCCATTTCCCTTCCATCTCAGGGAGATGCTTATTTGACCGAATCCTCACAAAAGGGATGTGAGCGGGTTTTAGCTTTGCCTCTGAGTCTAAACTAAGCAAAAACTGAGTCCTGTGCTCT